ACCAGAGGCAGCGCCACATATACCAGAGGCAGCGCCACGTCAGCATGCCACGTAGACCAGAGGCAGCGCCACATATACCAGAGGCAGCGCCACGTCAGCATGCCATGGTGCATCGAAGAAGCACCAGCATGCCGCCTCCACCTTGTGCCGTCGTGCGCAACGCGTGTGCACAGTCAGCATGAAGCCAGCGTTGTCAAAGTCGAGCCAGCGTCATAGCAGCATAGCAAGACTGAATGCTTGACTCACTCGAGGCCAGCCTTAAGTAGCTAAATTCAAACTCGTCTTCTTGTCACTTTGTCATGCCTGCAAACAGCGGTACAGCAACTGGCGACATGCGCCCACACAATACTCGAGATATCGTAACCAGATATGAGTTCTCTTCAACTGGCTATGGCGACTGGGCGCCCACACAACTCACTGTTCGCACTCTGGATCACCCTGGATGTCCCACACGCAACACTCAGTATTATACACAACACACACACATACTATGCTACAGCTATGGCAGCGCTAGCTGCCTCTACCCTATCGCTACACTACACTTCTTTGCCCACTTCGTCTTCGGGCGCACTGCAGACCGCCTCACACAAGCTGCTAAGGCAGCGCTTCCGCCTGGCATCTGCAGGAATGCATCATGAATGGACGCAGCCTCTTGATTTATACTTCTGTGCTGCATTGGTCTGCCTTGTGTCCCTGGCCCATGGTGCACACAGTTCCCCCCATGGTACTTGCTGGACCGGACTGGTACTTTCTAGACTCTCTCCAACATGGGCTTGCTTTAGTCACACCACTTGCCCACTTGCCTGCACCACTTGACCACTTGCCTTCACCGCTTGACCACTTGCCTGCACCACTTGACCACTTGCCTGCACCACTTGACCACTTGCCTGCACCACTTGACCACTTGTCTGCACCACTTGACCACTTGCCAACCTTCTAGAAGGACTGCAGCTAGCCTTCTAGTCTATAGGTCTACAGATCGAATCCTGGCTACCTATAGACCTACGACAGACCTACCTACCACTGGCGGTTCTACAGGTCGCAGGTTCAACTCTTCGAGTTGACGCAGGTATTGTAAACAGGTAAGTTGGGGAACTAGGGATCGAGCCCTTGGATCTACCTCAGCTACCACGAATTGGTGAATACGGTTTCATAGCAGTCAGCGAGGCTGTCTGGCCTCGGTGGATTTCCCCTCAGTCGTCCAGATTGACTCACAGCTGAAGGCCCGGATTGTGCAGTTGCATGCTTCTCCCTTGGACCTGATGCTGTCTGGGTACCTGCGTACAAACAAGTTTGTGTGCTTGACCAGCGGCCTGGGCTAGGTACCTTTGGACTTTGACTGTTGGAATTTCCGACAGTTGACAAGAAGTCAACTGTCTCGTCCAGGCTCTGAGTCTTGACTGGGGTCCTTTTTACCCCTGCCTGTTTGGCCTGGGTCTCATTTTCAACGAGGCGTACTACATGGGTTATTAACTTATTACAGTATGTGATGCACAAAAATAAACTGAACAACTTTTGTGTCAGGGTCGCATCAAATTTTTTTTTTACTGAAATCGATTTTTTTTTTCTACTGAATTTGATTTATTTTTTTTACTGAATTCGATTTTATTTTATTTATTTATTTTTTTCCCCCCGGCCGGGCATCTTGCCCCGGGCCACTCTGGCAGCCTAGGCAGTTGCTAAAAAAAAACGAAAATGAAAGAACGTTATAAAAACTAGACGTTAAAAAAAAAAAGAAAAAAAAAAAAAAGAAGAAGAAACAACTGAGCAATTGTGCTGTATTGGAACAGGGAGCTTTGTGAAGATCACCAGGGACTGGAAGACCGGGGACAAGCTGGAGGTTAACTTCACCCTCACGCTTCGCACCGAGAGAATCCAAGGTTGGTTATGCCGTACTCACTCTATCTCTATTTTAAATGTATCTGACCGCATTTGCGCACAGACCTGCATGTATCTGACTGCAATTGCGTCCATAACAAGTGAAAAAGTCCTAGCGTGAGTGTGCCCTTAGCATCACAAGTTGTACATTCTTGTATTGTCAAGAATAATCAATGCCCTGCACAACCTCCTTTGGCCCCTGGTGCTGGCCTCACTACCCCCCCCCCCCCCCCCCCCCACGCTTCCCCCGCCCCTTCCCCCCCCTTCCCCCCGCTTCTCACCCTGTCCGCCGCCTGTAAATGGATGTGTTGCTGACAGTTGATCCCTGATGGGAGCCCTGTTGGGGGAACTTGTGAGTTGTATGACGTGTCCCTCCAAAACGAATGGCACCAGGGCCCAACTTTGCTCCACAACTGTGGAATGCCCATGTGCGCCCATTGTGTCATCTCCTGTCTTCTTCCTATTAATAGAACATGTGATAATTATCGCTGGCTATATCTATAGACTGAGAGTTGCCCCAAATACAGCTATCACGACCGTACCTTCTCTTCGGGAAAGACGGCAATCATTGTGGGATGCTCATGTGCACCCGAGAAATGATCTCCAATGCACTTTTCAGGGTTGAAGGGGTTAACCAAGGCTGAAAAGTGAGGGTCCCTGTTAACCGCTTGTAGTGCGCCCATTGTGCCATCCGCTGTTTTCTCCCTATTAATAGAACGTGTGGTCATTATCGCTGTATCTAATAGACTGAAAGCTGCTCCAAATACACAGCTATAACAACCGTATGCAGTCATTATCACTGTATCTAATAGACTGAAAGCTTCCCCGAATACAGCTATAACGACCGTACGCTCTCTTCGGGGAAACATGGCAACCATGTTGGATGCTCATGTACACCCATTGTCTCGTCTGCTGTCTCTCCTCAGTAGAACATGTGGGGTCTTCTATACGAATACAGCTTTGGACTGTATCGTGCTGTATTCTCTGCGAACGATTTCATGCCTCTCTGCGCCCCCTGCCCCCCACCTAATAAGATTTCTTTTTGTGTCGATGATGTGCTGCTGATTGCAAACTGCTTCTGTAGACTATGTTGAAATTACTCTGCAGAAGTTTGATCATTATAGATGACGCTGAATGGGCACCACCGTGCGCGGTAAATGATGTTCTGCCAATTACATTCATTACTTTGTTTCTGTTGTTGTGGGGACCACCATGTGCTGAGTGGGGATCACCATGCACATCAGATGACAGGCCAGAGTTCCGGCAGTTGCATGCAATTTTGTTCGGTCCATATCTTCTGGCGGGCATGAGTAGCGGGGATTGCGACTTAGCGCCAGGGATTAACGCCTCACGTCCTGAAGATTGGATCGTCCCTGTGCCAGAGGACCACCGGGCTCAGCTCGCGACTCTTATTCTCAAGCCATGGCCGTTCGTGACTCTGTCGGAGACGGCTCTTGCCAACGATGCACAGTCCGTCACTAAATCTGAGTTACAGACGCGTGCTGACGATCATGCTTCTCCGGATGGGGGGAGCAAGGACTTGGAAAGAATCGAAAGTTATGCCGATGACGAGGATCGTCGATTTCTGCGCCAGCTGGGGTCCCAATTGAACCAAGTTGGTGGAAAATTTAATGGAAGAACGCTGTCGCTGCAGAGGCGAGGCGGCTACCTTGTTGCCGCACCAGAGCCCTTAGAGGGTACGAACGAGGCGGCAGCTTCGAGATTCTGGTTGGTCAGCTCTTTGAGTACGAAGCTTGCAGCTCTCGAGAAGGAGGGAGGACCTAAGACCGACAGTCGTGACGCTGGAGATGAGAAATCATCCTGGCGTGCGTCCGGCAAAGAATCTAATAATCGTTACGGCCCTGAGAAATCGTCCGGCGATGTCTTGGCAGGCAATGAGGACCTTGTGTCCTTTGAGTCTCTGGAACGACCGGGCTATTACATGGTTCATGCGGACAATGGATCGGCAATGATGGTCGAAATGAGCGAAGGGCGAAACCTTTGGGGAAGCCAGTTTAATGCGATGGCGACTTTCAAAAGGGTGCCCGGGGAGTTTGGCTATCGTACGGCTTCATTCGAGTCGATAGTCATGCCAGGATATCTGCTGAGTATGTATAACGGGCGAAGGGATCTGAACACGCCAACGGGATGGACGGTATCGTTTCAGAAACGGCGGAGCACGTGGGTGTTTGTGTCGATGAGCAGTTTCTATCTCCGCGAGGGCGAGCCTCCGTCCGATGTCAGTTTTGTTGCGCGCGGGAGGAACCAAAAATTCCCGCTGTTTCCGATCTCCGCCTTTAAGGATGAAACCTACACAACCTACTTCCGAGTTCCCGGCGGGCCCGTGAGGTAGGCACCAGGGGGAATCTAATGTATAAATTGACGGTTGACTTCAGTGCGTAAAAAAAATCTGACGACGCAAACCGGATGGTTGGTGGTTATCGCTCCACAAACGGCGGAACCCCTGGGTGTTTGTGTTTGATTAGCAGTTTTTCTATGTGCGCAAGGACGAGGCTCCCTCCGTCGGATATCAGTTCCGTTGCACGCGGAGGGTTCCCGCTGCGTCCCATCTCCGCCTTCAACGATGAAACCCCTACGCAACCTACTTTTGCGAGTTCGGGGCGGGCCCATGAGGTAGGCACACCGCTATGTATGTATCATGGATTTCTGGTCGATTTCATTGCTTAAAAGGAACTCAGGGCATACTCACTCTACGACCTTTTCTACTAAGCTCTGGACATGATTGCGGTCAGATTCGTCCTGGTCTGGCGGTTGCAGTTAGATACATTCAAGGAAGCGCTAGCGTGCGTATGCCCTCCGATTCTCTTCTGCGGGACACGAGAAGATTTGCAATTCATTTTCATATTCTTCTTCTAGCTCTTTGACACGGGGACTAGAGGGGTGGGTACTAACCGGAACACACAACTCTTTTTGCTAATCTTGGGCTGCGGCGATCGAAGCCGCTGAACGGACTTCAATCTGCGTCGTACTACCTGACCCATCATGTACTCTCTATCCTGCTCATATGTAACCTTGTAAATTTTGCTAGAAAAAAAAAGAACCTCAAAATTTTGCTGTGGCTGTGAGAGAAAGGAGAGGAAGTACAGGGGCCAAGAGTTAAGCAGAGCTTGTAGCCCTTTTGCGGAAGTTTTGCCAGTCTTTGCAGCCGAGGATGAAGCTGCGCAATCTGCTGGTTCAGAGGTCTACAGTCTTCCCCCGAATACAATGCACGGTTATTATAGCTGAATTTAGACTGAAAGATAGACCAAATTCAGCTATAATGACCGTGCGTTGTATTCGGGGGAAGACTGTAGGCCCTCTAGGGCAATGATGTGGCTCTCCATCTTGCCTATGTGCAATTTGGTGCCGTATGGGGAGAAAGAGGGGGGAGGGGGGAGGGGTTGTGGGAGGAGGGAGAGGTGAAGGCACATAGTAGCACTCTGTAGTAGTCGGTGCACAATTTGCGAAGAGGGCAATGCAAATTGTAGAAAAAGTTTCTGACTGGGAAATGCTTTTTTTTTTTTTTTTTTTTTTTTTTTTTTTTTTTTTTTTTTTTTTTTGTTTGGGACAATCGGCCTCATGGGACAGCTTGACATGCTGGTATTGAGATGCTCAACGAGGGTGAAAAAGACCCTTGTTGTACAAAGAAAAAGAGAGAAAAAAAAGAAAAAGACGCTTCCGTTCATAAGATGTTCGGATAAATTAGGAATGATTACGAACTCTATCTGATGATTCTTGCATGGAATGAGAGAGAATTTGTTTTTTTTTTAAAGACACACACACGACACAGTCTGGTACAGTCGTGCTTTTTTTGAGTTTATAGCGAATATGACAACACACACGAGTCGGTGAAAGTCCGACGAAACAGTCTGGCACAGTAAAAGTTTATAGCGAATATGACAACACACACGAGTCGGTGAAAGTCCGACGAAACAGTCTGGCACAGTCGTGCTTTTTTTCACTGTTTAGCGAATATGACAACACACACACACACACAGAGGAGTATGAAGCTCTGAAGAGAAAAATGCACAGGAGCATACCTTCCCTTTTACTCTGCCTCCTGAAATAACGTGCAAGTGGGCCGTGAAGGCACACGGGGGTGTGGGCAGCTGCCGCTCAACCACAATCAACGTCGGCAGCCTTGTGCGTAAGAGGCACAGTAAAAGGGGAGCTGCAAGAACAATGAAAGGGGTACCCCAAGGACAACCAAAAAACTGTCTAATTATAAAATTGCTTTAATATGTTGGACATATCAAATGCTCTCGTTGTCTGCAATAGGACAAAGACTGCTTTGATTCTGAAACTATTCATCTGGGTGGAATTGGGGCTGTTGTGGGCTAGGCTACCAGCCGGGCCGCCAGCCCGTCCAAGGACCAAGGAAGGTCCCAGCAAAAAAAAAAAAAAACCAACATTTCCAAAAAATCCAAAAAAAAAGTATGTTATGCAGAAAAATAAACTGAACAACGTTTGCCTCAGGGTCAGATCGAAATTCTTCACCAAATTTAAAATGAAAAATAAATTGTAAAACTATTATTTTATTTTATTTTATTTTTATTTTTTTGGCCCGGCCGGGCAAGTGACCCCGGGCCACTCTGGTAGCCTAGGTTGTGGGAAAAATCTATAACACAGACACAGACACACCGAGAGAGACACACACACAGACACACACACAGGTTCTGAAACTATTCATCTGGGTGGAATTAGGGCTGTTGTGGGGAAAATCTATAACACAGACACAGACACACCGAGAGAGAGACACACAACAGACACACACACACACAGATACACACACACACACACACACACACACACACACAGAGAGAGAGAGAGAGAGAGAGAGAGAGAGAGAGAGAGAGAGAGATTGTTAGCAAACTATGGGCGGACATGATGCGACACCTTCATTGCATCTGAGATCTGTGAAGGCTGCTGAAACTGCAGCAACAGAGATGAGATGCTGTGGGGGGTCGGCGGTGTGTGTGTTGGGGGGGGGGGGTTGTTAATTCTGCTCCCGCACCGGCGTGTTCTCTTTGGGACTGGAAGATGTGAGCTTCTGGGGTGAGGTCCCACTAGCAAAGAGGATTGGATCGAATGCCGGAATCTGGACGTGTTTGTGGAGAAGTGCATGAAACCGAGATTCACCTGCTTTTCTGCTTCCGTGCGACAAGCACATCCAGATTCAGACACTTAATCCAATCCTCTTTGCTAGTGGGACCTCGCTCCTGAGGGGTGGAAAAACAGAGACTTGTTTTTTTTTTAACTAAGCTATATTCTTCTTTTTTTTTTTTTTTTAAGTACTGTGAGGCATAAGGCCCCGATGAGCCCCTTTTGACCCTGCAAGCAGCCCAGTCGGCCGCCCTAAAATAAGGCAGGCCAGACCAAGGCCACAAGGCCTACTTTCAGGCTACCACGCAACTGGGGAAAATTCAGGCAGTTGCGCAGCGCTAGTTGGTTGAGAGCGCCCAGGCCCTGGCTGCCTTTTTTGTATGCAACTGAGGTAGGCCCTGGGCCAGATACACAACATGGGCCGAACCCCGGATGCGGGCAGTTGGGCACAAGCAACCGTCACAGGCCCTGGGCCTGATTCGGTAGGACCGGGGCTCAGCCTCTTGGGTCCTACCGGAAGCTTCTGGGCTGAAGCCCAGCACAGCCTGGCCGCACGCATAGGAAAGGCCCTGCCCCCCCGCATTCGGCATTCAGGCACTGGCTGCATGCTGCGCTACACGCTGGCCAGGCTCACGCGCTCACGGGCGAGCAGGGAGAAGCAGGCAGCCATAGCCGAGCTGCGCTGCATAGCTGGATGGGGCGCATGGTGGTCCTTGGGTGCACGTGGCATCTGTGAGTGGGAGATCAAGGTTGTGAGTGATACGAGAGGCATACCTGGTGCTTAGGCCAAACGGCATTGGCTGAGATCTGCTCGTACTTCGGGGAGCAGTTGACGACACCAACGGCATTGTAGATAGGCTAGATAGGATCTGCCAGTTGAGTCTGGGCGCAGGGTGCCAGATAGGATGTTCGACATTGGTTCATTGTTGATGGTGATGAGAATATTCCAACATTGTCACTTGTGAGCTTTTGCTGTGCTCTAATTTGGTGGAACTCGTGTTGCATTTCTGCTTTTGGTTCGAGGTCACGACTATCTGGTCTCATGTGTATGATGCTGCTTGGTTTCTGAAGTTCGCTATCGCTCATTTTCCTTGCAATTTGGTATCAAAGCTGTGGTACGGTGCACTAATCTGGCGCTTGTCTTCTGCCTATGCGGTACATGCGTGCGGTCTGCTAGGCGAGCGGCCGTTCAGAGTGTAGTGAGGAGGGCGAAGGCAAGCAGGGCGACCCAAGAGGTGAGGGGTATCGCCAGGAAGGCTACGTGGTGAGTGATGGGTGTTTGCAGTGTGATGAGAACTATCGGATGTGCGATTGATGCTGAGGTGGAACGGCGGTGTAATGCTGGTTGTGCCGAAGCAGTCATTGGTCATCACAATCGGCATCAGGTCATTTGGTGAGAATATCTGTGGTTGGGGGCAGCTATTTTGAGGTATGTTGCACCTAACCTTATCTACCCTCTTCGACACTTCTTACCGTGAGGATGTGTGTTCTGTCTTGAGAGTCCTCATGTGAGGAGTCGATTGCGCTCAACCTTGAGAGTCGGCATTGTTCACATGGAGCATCTGGAAGGAGAGGGCGGAGCTATCTGAAGGGCCCTGGATGAAGCACTGGGTCACGGTCACCATGCCAACCCACCGGGAGTAGAGCACGCATGCTTTGCTGCTTTGTCCTTTGTCTGCTTGCTGCGCTGACAGATGGGTTATGACGGGCAGGCCAGCCCTACAAGGGAGATGAGTACCGGGCGTCTATAAATAAACATCGGCGGGGTACCTTCCATTGGCTGTGATCGTCGCCCTGTTTTAACGTTAAATAATTCATGAGGACTTTGGGGGCCGTCCTTGAACGCCTCGTGATCAGCCAATCGGTCGGTGTAAGGCTCGCTGCACGTGAGGATAAACATTGTGCAGGGCCGGCCAGCTCAGCATACACTCGGGGCACAGGGGTGGGCCGTGTGCACGCCTTTAGACACGCACGCTGTCCGGGATCGCTCAGGGACGCTGACGTCAAGTGACCATCAAGAGGAACTGAGGAAGGGGTAGATTTTATGTGATAAGTTCGAGTTTAATTCTACTTTGCGAATATCCACACGGGCGATCCTATTTTCATTCTTGATTAGTTAGATGGACTGCCATTGACATCTGACAGACAGCATTAGGTTGATCTGCTCTCTGTTCGTGGACAGACAACATTATGTAGATCTGCTCTCTATTTGTGGACTAAAGTAAAAATAGTTTCGTTTGTAGGAATCTGGACTTACGTGTTGGACCCGAATGTGTAGACTCTGAAATAGCCACCAATTATTTGTTAAATTGGTCTGGGCACTGCGCTGCAGTAGGCACTTAGTCTGACCTAGTGCAGATTGTGCCCAATTCTGTAGCTTATGAGCGACAGGGAGGAAACTAGAGAGGACGACAGGATCCTGCGATCAGCGAGGTGCCCGATAGCCCACTTGGCATTAGGACTAGAGGGCGACAAATTCATGTTCCGCCAGCGGAGAGAGAGGCAGCAGCAGCGAAGAGCTAGGGGCGCATGAGGCAAGCAGGGCATTCGCAGGTGAAACGACTACTTCAGCATTTGAACGGTCTGTTGCTCAAGGTTAGGATTGCATCAGTGGCCTTTTGGGCCTCCTGAGGATGACAGGATCCTGCGATCGGTGAGGCGCCCGATAGCCCACTTGGCATTAGGACCAGAGGGCGACAGATTCATGTTCCGCCAGCAGAGAGAGAGGCAGCAGCAGCAGCGAAGAGCTAGGGCCGCAGAGGCAAGCTGGGCATTCGCAGGCGAAACCGCTACTTCAGCAGCCATGGCAACTGCTGGGCAGCAGAGCTCCCAGGCTAGTAGTTCAGGTACGAT